AGAGTAACAGGAACACTGAATTACAAGTAAGAGAATGTATTGCAGTGTCTGGGAATGCATTATTTGATTTTTGGGGGATGTGGTCATGTAGTGCATCACTAAACCTTACTGGAAAAGGTGTCTTAGGTGACTGAAAAGATTGGTAATGGGAGATATCCCGAGTGACCAGAAAATTCTTAAAACCGGAAGTGCTAGGAATCAATTGTTCTGTTATTTAGAGATATTACTACAATGATAATAACAGCACTAACCTATTCTCATTTTCTCCACCATGTCTTGATCAACAAAGGAACGAAGGGCCAATGATACAGCATAACGTATAGCCCCAGACTGTCCAGATGTTCCACCTCCCTCAACATCAGCAACAACATCAACTTTGCCAAGCAACCCAGTAAATTGTAGTGGGAATATGACCTGTTAGAGAAGAAAATAAATCATATGTAAAAAGAAATAAAATGTACTTAATACACACATCTGTAAAAAATTAATTGACTGCCTATCTATAATAGAGAAGATGTGGGGTAAAATGTACATTTCATCTTTATTGATCCTGTATGAAAGAAATAAAGTTTAATGCAGCACCAAATGTAAGTCACAGCCACCTACATCCTCTGAAGCACCATCTTTAGTCATAGAACATGTTAAAAGAGTTGTGCCTACGTAGTCCAGAATTACTAGCAAAACAAGAGGACAAGTGATTGAGGACATGGAAGGACTGTTGTGTGTGTGTGGCTGGAGGATCAGCATCAATGTCAAATCCCCATTAGCCTTGTTAATTCATGAGAATATTAAGAGTTTGTTTGATGACATAAAGGCTAAACATGGTGAAAGTGCTGCTGAGAAACCTTTTGTTGCTAGCTCATAAAATTCATACACATTACCCTGCCAGAATATAATTTACATTGCTGGAATTCGTACATTATGATATCATTTTGAATATAAACATCATAGATTTTGCATTAGACATACAAATTTTAGATATAATGTTTACTCTGAGTAAATATGTTATTTTTTGTGCAAAATATATGACATTTGTATTCAAAATATGCCTGGTCTTTCAAGGAATCCAGCAATGTCAATTATATTATCCTAACTTTAGTTTGAGGTATTATTTATTACTAAAAAGGTAAATATTCTGGTTTTTCCACACATCTGGTAGGGAGGGTTGGTGGGGGGGAGGGAGGGACCGACCGACCATCTGTTACCGTGTGAAGAATATTTTTTTTTTTTATTAACTGAAGATATTTGTTTTAGCTCATAAAATTCATACAAATTACCCGGTCAGAATATAATTAACATTGCTGGAATTCTTATAATTTGATGATCATTTAGAATATAAACATCATAGATTTTGCATTAGACATACAAATTTTAGATGTAATGTTTACTCTGAGTAAATATGTTATCTTTTGTGCAAAATATATGACATTTATATTCAAAATATTCCTGGTCTTACAAGGAATCCAGCAATGTCAATTATATTATCCTAACATTAATCTGAGGTATTATTCAATACTAAATGTTAAAATTTAGTTTTTTCACCCAACATCTCTTGAAGGGAGGATTGGTGGGGGGTGGGAGGGAGGGTTGGGACGGACCGCGTGGTTGGAAGAGGGGGGGAGGCAAGGTGGGGTACTTTGATTGACAGATAGTGTCATGAAGAATATTTTTTTTTTTATTAACTGAAGATATTTGTTTTAGCTCATAAAATTCATACAAATTGCCCGGCCAGAATATAATTTCATTGCTGGAATTCTTACAATTTGGTGATCATTTTGAATATAAACATCATAGATTTTGCATTAGACATACAAATTTTAGATATAATGTTTACTCTGAGTAAATATGTTATCTTTTGTGCAAAATATATGACATTTATATTCAAAATATTCCTGGTCTTACAAGGAATCCAGCAATGTCAATTGTATTATCCTAACTTTAGTTTGAGGTATTATTTATTAAAATTTAGTGGTTTTCCCCAAAAAATTTCTCAGAGAGGGAAGAGCCAGCAGTGTAGTGTGAGAAGAGGGGGAGGGAGTTGAGTCCATTATTTGAATGGACATTAACTTGGCGACTGTATTTCTCTATTTCTCTTAAATATTAATTGTGTGCATGTACCATCATAAAATTAAGATGTTATTTTTACTAGAACATAGGTATTGTGTCGGAAAAAGTGGAGTTTGGGGGTCGGGCCAGTTTCTATTGGAATTAATCCCATATGTTCTGTTGTTCACTTAGCGCGGTTTTCACTTAACACGGTACCCTGTGGGTTTTATTGACCGCGTTAAGCGGGGTACTACTGTATATATATATATATACACAGCTAGACCCCGACTTACGACTACATGGACTTACTTCCATTGGTATTACTTAATTCGTTTTGACTGCGACATCCGTCGACATACATCATACTGTCGTGGACTAAAATATTTTCAAATGACGAGCTTTTCACTGGTCAAACGCTTTCTCATTCCGGGCGAGAGGGTATGCTGCCTCGGTCGTGCTTCTCAGGCATCGGTGGAGCGCTGGTTTGTGTTTACATCGATCCTATACTGATCGGGCCAGAACTTCTCGTTATTATCAGACAATTGAGTTTATAATGACTGGTGCTAAAAAAAGTGAGAGTGCTGGTGGTGTTCCAAGGAAAAGGAGACAGCAATTACTTTTTGAGATGAAAAATGAAGGTAATAACACAGTATGGAATGGAAAAACAGTAGCAACAATCTCACGACCTAGGTTTCACACTCAACTATATCCACTATTCTGAAGGACAAGGAATATATTCAGTGAAGTAGTGAAAGGAACAACACCTATAAAGGGAACTATAATATCAAAGAGAAAGACAAGGTCTCTATTCACGATATGGGAAAAAAAATTATTATGATATGGATAGAAGACCAGATACAGAAGCATGTACCCTTAAGCGTTTCTAACCATACAGGCTAAAGCAAGAAGCCTGTTCCAAAGCCTGAAGGAGCAGGCAGGAGATGAATGCGACCAAACCTTACAGGAAGTCATGGGTGGTTTGATGCAGATCTAAAAAAACGCTACAGTCTACACAATGTTAAGGGGGAGTGGAGAGGCCAAGGCCGAGTGTTGGTGCTACGTAAGCTTTTAAGGAGTTAGATGATGTGGATTAGGAAGGAATTATTTATTCTGAGCAACATTCAATGTAGATGAGACTGACGGTTGTGGGAAGCGTGATGCCTGAGGGACATACATCCACAAAGAGGCGAAACAATGCCCAGATCTAAGGTATTCAAGGACAGAATTACACTTCTGTTGGGGGGGAATAAGTTGGTTTCAAGCTAAAGCCCTTCATGATCTATCATTCAGAGAACCTTCAGGGCTTTTAAACATGTCAGCAAGCACACACTGCCAGTGTTTTTATCGCAGTAACAAGAAAGCCTGATGACCCGAGTACTGTTTGAGGATTGGTTCATGACTTGTTTATCTCCATGAGCTATATATTGTCTACACAAGATTCCATTCAAGATTTTACTGCTGATTTTGGATAATGCCCGGACACCAATTACCTGGACGACGGCACTTGGATGTTAAGGTAGTGTACATTCCACCTAACACTACCTCTATCATCCAACCCATGGATCAAGGTGCTATTGCTGTCTTTAAAGTGTGGCGATTTAAGCACGACCTTCGCTCAGGCTGTTGCTGCTACTGAAGGTGAGAAAACGCTCAGACAGTTTTTTTTGAAGGAGTACAACATTTTGTCATGTATAAAGAACATTAGTACAGCATGGGATCAGGTTACAAAACATTGCGGCATCACGCACCACCAGCTGTATCAGCTAGACGGTACACGTGTTTTTCGAATCGTTTTCAGTTAAAAAACTGTTACATCACATGTATATTTTACCTTAACTGTGCCTGAATGAATATATTCTCGGAAATAAATAGTAGTTTTGCTGAAACGTGATATATTTTAATGTAAATAGGATAAAATACATGACGAAAACAAAAGATTTACCTAACCTTCCGATGTTCACGAGAAGTTACTGCTTTTTTAATAGTTTTTGGTTTAAATATTGTTATATTACAATGGTATTCTATTCATACTGTGCTTGATATAATTCATTCACGGAAATGTAACATTTTGCTGAGATTGACGTCGTATTACAGTGGAAAGTGGGATAAAATCGTGGCCAAAAAACAATGACTTTCGCTTTCTTTCGCTCAAAAGATGTTACCAGTAATCGCTTTTGAATGGTTTTCAGTTAAAAAACTGTTGTATTACGATATTCTATCCTAATTGACTTGAATAGATACTACGATACCATATTTCTGAATATTTTCATTAAAATCCATCAAAATCACTTTCCTTGTCATCGTCTGCAGCACCAAACAGCTTCTCCCAGTCCTCTCCTTGAACAGGGCTAGAGGGTACGTGTTTCTCTAATCGCTTTCATTTAAAAAACTATTCTCACGCGTATATTTTACCTAACACAATGAATATATTCTCAGAAATAAAAGTAGTTTTGTTGAAAGCGTGATGTATTTTAATGTAAAATAGGATAAAATACATGACGAAAACAAAAGACTTTTTCCTAAGCTTCTGTTCTTGAGATGTTACTCGTTTTTTAATAGTTTTCGGTTAAATTCTGTTATATTACAATGATATTCTATTCATACTGTGCTTGATATAATACATTCACGGAAATGTAATATTTTTGCTGAAATTACGTCGCGATTAAAAGTGGAAAGTGGATAAAATCGTGATGAAAACAACTTTTGCTTTCTTCGTTCAAAAAGATGTTACCGTAATCGCTTTTAAGTGATTTAGTTAAACTGTTGTATTACAATAATATTCCCTCCTGATTCACTTGAATAAATACTTGAATGGAAATATACAATATTTTGTTGAAACTACCAGCGTTTTCAGTGTAAGTGTCGTAATAATAAATGGTAAACAATTTGCCTTTGCTCTTGTTTCATGCGGCTAGCCTCAGTTTATAGGACGTGGCGTTTTAGTGAAGGTTTGT